GATGATATTCGAGGTGTGGGTTGGGGGAGGGGGGGGGGGTAGTAAGACAGAATAATGGAGAATCACATCGACAAGAGGCTGGACATTGAAATGGAAAGTGATTTTTCTACATATATGCAACTACCTGGAGGTAAGTGTAGGAGTTCCAATGGGGGCCTAAAGCATAACAAATTGGCTTTGGGGATACTAGAAGTATATATCGGGTATCAGGGAATAAGTTGGGTAGTTCTTCAGCCTTCTACACCATTTGGTTTTCTGAGGGTCCTAGTTGTGTCTTCGATCATGGCCGTTTCCTGGAACGAGCTTTCTAGCATGTGTTACGTAAGGGGCCCTAAAGTTCCTTCACAACCCCAGGGGGTTTAGGGTTTAGGGTTGGGGTCACTGTTAGTAGCTTGTTTGGAGAAGCCCCTATGTCTATGGGATCAGGTTTGCCCACGGCGCGAAGTCATTTCCGACAAAAAAACGTGTAAGGCAATTGCCTGAAGCTTACGATACTAGTAATTCTCCCCACAGTAGTGATTATGACCATTGCCGTTTCATCAAGCACTTGTATTTCAACGAGTTAATACTTCAAAGCCTAAATTGGGACTTGCAACTTAAGCACGACCCTCATCACCAGGTCTTGCCCTGAGTGTAGGGTTCAGGGTCTAGGATTTAGCGCCAAAATTGGGAATATACATTTATAGATGTTAAAGCCGACAAAGATTTTGGAAGGTTGCCCGGGCTTGCCACGTGATCCACCTCTCTGATGAGATTTGCCTGGCCTTGGCCCCAAACCTTGGTCCCTGGCTGTCTACTTCCTGAAGGTTTCTTGGGTACAACTTTTATGACTTTGTGATACCTTGTTGGGGTCTGTGGGTTGTGGGCGTAGCTGTGGATGTGAAAAGCCAAGCCCGAAGCTGATGATGATGCTCTGAGGGGCTGGACTGGCAGAACAGCTGTGGCTTTTTGGTCATTCCTACAGAAGAGTTCCATCGAGCTCAATATGGGTCGCGACGCTGTTGGGTGCTAAGACTCGAAAGTCTAAACCGTAAGCCCTACACCCTATTATGAACCCTAAACCCGGTGAGTGATCTCGACGTTGCTGGAAGACGTGCGCAGTCTCATTGCTTGTGGCCGCAGTCTGTGCTCAATGAGGGTTGTGCAGGCTTTGCGAGGCTTGCAGCCAGTGGCAGTGACGGTCGTGCTTGTGGACTATTTACGATATACTCATACTATGCTAACTTAAATTCCTTCAAAGCAATTCATACTAGGTCCATGTTCGGCACCCTTCCTACATGTACTGCTATGGGTTATGCTACATTCAAAAGATCCTCCTCCTTCTGAATGGAAAGACCCTAAACCCTACAAACCTCAAGGTCCGTATCAAGCTCCCGCTGGCAACCACAAGCTACCAGCTGCAGCCTCTCCACTGCATGAAGCTAGCTGGGGACAACCCGACCGATAAACTGGTTAGATACTGTACTTTCCTTAGATTTCTATAGATAACACTAGTACACGAAGTCTTGGGATGTTCATTAGATTGGAAGAGGAAAAGAAACATTATTTGCAACCTGGCCTTTTTGTTTAGATCTTGAGGCAGGAGGAATCCAATGCTCCAACTTCCAGACTTCTACTGGCGGGCTTTGGAGTCTGAGTTTGGGTATTTTTAGTTTTCAGTGATTGAGAACTCAGGGTTTTCTTTCCCGTTAGTTCACTCATTATATTACCCTATATGCCCAAAACCACCAAGACCCTAAACCCTTAACCCTTAACCCCAAACCATGGTATTGAGGGCAACTTCATCCATCCGAGCCAAACAATAACTTCAGATGACTGCGGCTTGTTTTCAAGCCTGGGGTTGCTCATAAACCCCATCGAAGAAAGAATAACCACAACCATGGCAGATCCTGTGCTATTGAAAAGGGTCCGCGCGAAATGTTTCGCTGTGTTCCAGCACAGCATTCGCAACGCCGGCCTAGAAAACAAGAATTGTTGCTATGGTAACTGTAACGCGGGTGTATTTTGCTCGTTGAGGGAGTGCGCTTCAAGATCTGAGCTCTGTGTTCTTCACTAGATCATATCCCCCTTGCTGATTTCCTGGGGTCCCTTCATGAGGGCCTCACGCAACGGATAATTTGCACTGAGCTTGTGCTGCTTGTTGCTGCCCATAGCCGTATTGGCATGTTTGAAGGTGTACTCGTATGCATGGATAAGAGCGCCAGCTGCCCTGTGCAGGAGCTGCACAGGGAAACCTGGCTAGCGCAACACGCACAATGCCTGCAGCTCTCTCCAGTTTTTCTGCTGAGCTCGCAATACTATAGATCATCGCATGAAACAACACCACGAATCTTGCAGCAATCCCCGCACTACCTCTAAAAGCAATCCCTGTAAGAATTAAAAACGCTTCCTACAACCCTGAGAAAAAAACGACAGATGTTTCAGGGTCTATAAGATACGGGGCAAACGTTGCAGGTTCTCTGCCAGTGCAAGGGAAGCACCGCGGCAAGTGCAGCCGCAGCCCCTTTGGTGCCTCTGCCGCCATGTCCTTCTGTGAGTTTAGGGTTCAAAGGCGCACCTAACTCCTACATCAAGTCTTGAGGGTGAGGAATGGGCATAAGCCCTAAAACCCGGGGATCTAAGCTTCACCTCTCTTCTGATTCTTTCGTGAGTGGTTCTTATGTGCAAGGTCTTGTGAACACATATCTGGAATGCGACAGCTAGGCCACAAGCCACTTGTTCAAAGTGGCATTGTTTTTGCACCAGCTGCTGCATGCTGCTCGCTTCCTTCCTGCCTTCATGTCATGCATGAACACACAAGTAGCATGCAAGTCTGGGAGTTTTCCCAACTTGGATACCCTGAAGAGCCGCTTCCTTGGCCCCTGATCACAAGCTTTGCTCTAACATCTGCGAGTATGTTCTGGCAAGAGCTCGAGTTTTGGCAATTTTTGCCAAGATGAGTGAAAATTCTGCAAGAGGGGTTTCAACTGTTGGAGATGGGGGGCGGTTTAAGTTATGGGACTTCGTGTAAGGCTGGGTGGAGTGCTACAAAGGCTTACAGTACCCTTTCCAGACGAAGACGGAAGCCCAAAAGCAGCCACACAAGGGCTTGGCGGGTATAATAGGAATGTAATAGGACCCTAATATAATCCCCATCATCCCTTAAAGTCACTATTACAGGGTGGAGGTCCATGTTAGCTATAGAGAGGACACCTGCTTCATGACCTTTTCAGGGCTCTTGAGCTAAGTCCATCGTTGCATGCCAAGGCTAGGCGGCGGTTCAACTGCTTGGCTCAGAAGACGTCAGTCTGCAAAGTCCTTTCATACAAAGACCCTAAGCATCCGGCAAGCATTCATTGAAAACACCTTCCGATGCCCCATCACAAACCTGGGAACCCGACAACTGATTGGTGGTCAGTAGAAAAGTGTAGCGAACAGGGACTATTGCAACACTATTCTACTGTGTTATGGAAGGACTACTATGGTATGGGAATCCGTCCCCTTGTTCTTACTATCCACCTTCGGCCGCTGCTTGAAATAGCTGTTCGCTGCCAGCCCTGTAGTCCAGGAATGCGCTTCGTTGATTAGGGTTTTAAGTGACAGCAGCGCACTTGCGAGGAGCCAGTCTATAGTTTCTAGGTCTGGTTCCCTTTGGCTTGCTTTCGCCTTGCCTCTTGGTACTTCCATGTTGTTGGGTCTCCTGAATGTATCAGGGAGGCTTAAGAGTTTAGTCTTCAAGGGGTTACTACAGTCAGTTGAGTTCCTATCATCCTCATGTCTCAGCATGCAGTGTGGATACACCTGCAGAGGTTGGTCCATGTTTTGGGTGGTGAAGGTGTAACGTTTGTAATGCAGATCCAATCACCCCGCCCCAGCAGCGTCCCCCTCCCTCTCTCAGCCCATGTAGTTGCTGTCCCAATGGCGGGTCGGGTTCCTGCGCTGCTGTCTTTCGCTCATTTGCAAGCTTGCCTCAGCTTCTCCGTGCAGATTGATGACCGTAGCTTGGGAAGAGTTATGGGGTTTTACAGCGGTTGAGGTGCCCAGTACTAGTGGTTCTATAAGAATGACGAGGGTCTGTAATAGAATTGATGACAATCTCCATTTTGGCCTAACCCAGGTGTGTAGTATTTTATACCCAATTACCCAATATGGAGTAAGACGATATCCCCTTTTTGGGTATATAAGGAATATTTTCTTACTAGGTTCAATCACCAAAAAAACACTACCCAGGTGATGCCGGGAGATAGCGGGGGATGTAGTTCTAGGGTTCTGGCTGACTTTAGCTGCCTGCTTGATGGAAGGTGTAGGTCCTGAAAGAGGATGCCACCTCTCGACCTATGAACCCTTTGGGCGTTGTCCCCCAATCAATTACATTATGCTTCGAATGGCGAACAGAATGGTCATCATGTGCGCGCAGGTCTTTCTCTATCACTTTGTGCCATTGCTGGTGGGTGGGTAGTGGGTGGGTGGACAACTCCCTGTAAACACCCTGAACACGCATCTCCATGCTCCCCGAGAAGCCTACTCTAAAGAGGGACTCCAGATCAGCGCTTGCACCAAACTCTTTGATGCGATTGAGCGAGGCGGCAGCATTTGGTAGCCCAAATGCCAAGTTGTACGACAGTCATAGGTCCTCACTGGTTGGCAACTGTGGAGTTCCCGTCTTCTACAGGAGTGGCCTTCCCGAATCAGCAGACCAGGAAAAGAACGGATGCCTCTGGAGTCATGCCAGGTAGAACCCGCACGAACAGTCAAACGTCCCATGGTTTTGGACTCTCAGGTGAATGGTGTTTTACTTAAGAATCCTGTAGTCTTCAGTATGGAGCAAGATTATCTGTGCTTTTTGGGGTAGGGTACTGCAAAGAAAAACACAACCTTGATTGCTCCTTGGGACTTAGCTGGGACCTTAGACCCTTTTTACACCCTTAACCTTTTGGGATTTCCTTATATTCTTATCATAGGTACGTAAGCATTAACCCTTAGTAGGGGTCCTACGTGCCACGTAGGAAAATCCTACCCAGGTGGTGAAGCAGAACCACTTCCTTTGGTTCGCAGGCACAGCGACAACGCTTCATTGGTGCCCGGATGGGTCTTCGTGCATGTGCCGAAAACGGCGGGAACAAGCATTTGGGATGCGCTTGGCCCTTCCTACACTGACTCAGGGCGATATCCCGAGATAGAGTTCGCTTGCATGAAGCATAACCCTCCCAGAGATCATGTTAGGAACAGCTTCTCGGCTGCTGTGAAGAAACTTACGTTGAGTCATCAGGCAGTCACCTTTCCGCGACAACCAGTATATTCTTATATTGTAAGTGGTAATTTGTGATTCAGTAGAAGATATTAAGTCAATATACGTATGCGGACTATACAAGTATATGCTTGTCATACTTACCCTAGGGATCCAAATAGCCCAATGTAGGTAATATTTACAGACTTTGGGGCCCAATGTAGGTATTATTTGTATACTTGGATCCCTAGATTTTATTTTTGTGGATCTTAACAGCAAGCCAGGCTTCGGGATTGTACGTGAGCCATGTGATCGGCTGGTGTCCGAATTCGCCTGGGGCAAAAACCAGGCCTGGTTCGACACCTACTACGAGGACTTTGGCGTTGTGAAGGCTTGGCCACCCACCTGCGTGGCAAGGCTACTTCAGCATAGTGTTGGGTTTAGGGTTTAGGGTTTTGGGTTATGTTGGGGTTTCGGGCTTGGGGTTAAGATCCTAAGGTTCAGGGCTTTGGTGTTTGGAGCTCTTTTGGTATAACTTTGGCCCCTTTCCCTTCCCTTCATTCTTCTGTTGGCCATATATCTTGTCCAAAGATGTTCACCCGTTGCTTTGCTTCGTGGCTTGGCAGTAGCTGCATCTTGTCTGGTTTCTTCCGCCACTAGGAGATGTTCAACGGCTGGGTACGTGCAGTCCTCCGACGTTACGCTGAGCGATCGGACGTTGAAGACTGCCACATGATACTGGGTTGCTGTTAAGGAACTTAAATTAAAGTACTATATTGGGGAAACCCTATTATTTACTATATGTACCCATTATGGTAACCCTAAACCCTAACCCTAAACCCCATATACCCATTATGGTAACTTAATTTAAGTTCCTTAAGAGCAACCCAGGATACCCCAGTGGTGCTACCTCTCCAAAGCGTCTCAGCTGCGAGATGGCTTTAACTGATGCCCTTGATGGCGTTTAGGGTTTAGGGTTGCACCGTTACGTTCAAAAGGCTGCATGCCTCTGTCAGATCCCAACGAAAAAACCGTAAAGCACGTTTCATTCAATGGTTGCGGGGGGGGTCTTTCTCATGAAAACAATGTGGGGTTGCGGACAGACCTGCATAAACGAGGAGGCCTAGGCTAGCGGCTCAGGATATGGTAGTTTCCCCAAATAGGTGGACCCCAGTACAGGCCCAAAATACTATAACCCTTCTTATAAAGACCTCCACTAAGGTAACCCCAATGTTGGGAAACTTGACAAATACGGTTTAGGGTTTGGGTTCCCTTGTGGTTTAGCAGTTTTTTCGGAGCGCTTCATGCGAAGCTTGTTTGCTGGAGGCGGTAGTCAAGCAAAGCTCCCGGTTTCAGTTCCACCTACAACTTGCTACCCCAAACTAACGCCCAAAAGGTGTCGTGCAAAGCACACAGGTCTTCTACATGGAGTCTTTACGGGCGTGGGGAAGTATTTGTTCGTTCAAGCTCTTTCTTTTTTGTGTGTTACTCCGGGCATCCGCTGTCAAAACCTGCCACGCTAATATGGGCAGTTCTGAGTTTGCTTTCTTGAGTAGCTTCCATGCCCGCATAGCTGGAGCTGGACCGGGGCCCGAACAAAGTTGCATCCGTTAATCATGCTCAAGAATTTGTGGGAATTTAAAAGGGTCACCCTTAAATTTATCTATACTCAATATCGGCAGATGCGTCGCTCCCACAAGCTCTCTCTCTCTCTCTGTCTGTGTCTGTCCAGCCATCAGTCTTCTGTCTTTCTTGTACAGGCCTCCAAGAAATTCCTCTTCTTTCAAAAGCACCTTATTTGTTCCAGGTAGACAGAATACTGCCTCTGGATGAGCATCTGCAAGAAAGCTTCCGCTCATTGGCCCCCGAGTTCCAGCACGTCGTGCTGAAGAGGCTTGCAGCCCTAACCGCAAACCCTAAACCGTAAAGCTCGACGGTTTGCAGGTTCCGGTTCAGGGTTTGCTGGCCTTTGGCTAGCTGGGAAGGAAGGAATGGAAAGGAACATGGAAACTACTAGGAAAGTACTATAATGGGATATATGGGTAGCTGGAGGAATGGACAAGAAAATGGAAAGTAATATAATGGGATATATGGAGTTCAGGGTTTAAAGCTTAGAAGGAATGGAAAAGAACCTGGGAACTACATTAATGGGTTATGTAGGACCTACTAGAAGGATCCATTCCTTCATTCCTAGCTAACGAAAGACCAGTTCAGGTTTTGGCTGAAGAAGCTGTGACCCATCTTACAGGCTTCTCGATCAACATTCCCAGACGCTCAGACCAGCGGGAAGACAAAGGACATTGAGATACTAGACGCAGAAGGGTGTTTGGGGTTCCCATAATAAGGATCATAGTATTCGTGGCCTATATTGGGTTCTTCTTGTTTTTGGAAACTACCACAAAGGAAACCCTCATCATAGAGTCGTTGCCATGGCAGCAGAGGGCGGAGGAGGCAGAGGAGGATGTGGAGTTACTAGTGCTAGGACGCCAGGACTAGTAGGAGAAGGAGATGGCGCAACAGAAGAAGTACTGGTAGATAGCTTGGCTGTTGCTCCAAGCATGAATGATAGTGTTTCAGCATGGGGTCTGCGGACTGGTTTTCCTCAATGTCTCTGAAGTGCCAAATGTATGGAGCCTCAGATGGTCAAGGAATCCCTCTAATTAGAGTCGGTAGCCTTCTCTTTGACTTGATGACAGGCTGAATGCGGACGATTCTGCGCGTAGGAGCAACGTGACATGCGCATGTCTGGACCATGCAAACATGTCCCTTGGCCTGAGTCTAGGGACATAGAGCTTAGCATCTAGCCGGGAGGACCCGTGACGGTACAGCAAAGCGACCAGAAATTGTCTCAAGGTAGTTTCAGATCTTCTGACTTTGTACACCTTGTGTTCAAGATGACTCTTTTTGAGGCCGGGTGGTATGTGAGCCCAGATCCTCCAAGTATATGCTTGAGCAAGCTCTACCCCACCCTCTACTCTCGGAGAAACATTCGCGACATTGTAGCAATAGCTGGAGAGGAAGATTAGGGAAATTGTCAAATGAGGGGGGGGGGGAGGTTCTCAAGGAGAAGTCGGCTGCCCAGACGCCAGAAAGAGGAACTACACTGAGATGTAGCAAACGAAGGTATGTTGTGAATCTACCAAGGGTTCGAGTTTTGCATCACAGCTGCATCACTCACGGCGCTATGCTCATTAGTAGATAGACCTTTCNNCCCCCCCCCCCCCCCCCCGAATGCCTTGGAAGTAAACGTTCGGAATGTAAGCCTGAACCCTCCACGCTGACGTGGAACGATAAGCGTCAGTGCAACCCTTACACCCTCATAGTCTTAAGATTGAAGTATACACCTTGATTATACTACTCCTATTCCCCTAAGGGTCCAAGTAC